GTAGCAAGATGGATTGAGAGACTACAGGAGTTCGACTTTGACACAGAACATCGGGCTGGGACCATCCATAGAAATGCTGACGCCTTGTCAAGAAGACCGTGCCCGGAAGACTGTAAACATTGTCTCAGGGCCGAAGAAAAGGATGTGTTTGTTCGCAGAACTACAATCGTGGATGATCATTGGCAATCCGCTGAGGTTCAACAAGACCAGGAAAGGGATCCGGATTTGAAGCTTATCATCGATTGGAAGAAGAACGACCGTAAACCAACGTGGCAGGAAGTCGCCCAATATTCGCCGAATGTGAAATCGTACTGGGCCCAATGGAATTCCATCATCCTAAGTGACGGGCTTCTAAAGCGCGTTTTGGAGATGCCAGAAGGGGGGGAAGACCGGAAGCAGATAATAATCCCCAGAAACAGAATACCAGAAGTGCTGCAGGAAATCCATGATGGAACTACTGGAGGACATCTTGGGGTGACCAGGACGCTCGGAAGACTTAGGGAACGGTTTTATTGGGTCAACAGCCAACGGGATGTGAAGGAATGGTGCAAGAAGTGCGCCGTTTGCGCGGCAAGCAATGGACCCCAGAAGCGCCCAAAAGCCCCAATGCGACAGTACAATGTGGGCAGCCCATTTGAGAGAATTGCAATCGACGTGGCGGGTCCATTTCCGGAAACAGAATCTGGGAATAAATACATCATCGTTGTAATGGACTACTTCAGCAAGTGGGCGGAAGCGTACGCCTTGCCAAACCAGGAAGCTGCCACAGTGGCCGATGCCCTTATTAAGGAGTGGATTTGTCGTTTTGGTGTGCCAATGGAGATGCATTCAGACCAAGGCAGGAACTTTGAATCTATATTGTTCCAGAATGTCTGTAAGATTCTTAACATTCGGAAGACGAGGACGACTGCATTACATCCGCAGTCCGATGGAATGGTAGAACGAATGAATCGAACGATAAACCGGTACCTGTCCAAGGTAGTCTCTGATCACCAAAGAGACTGGGACCGCTTTCTTCATCTGTTCCTGTTGGCGTACCGTTCTTCTATCCACGATACAACCGGCCAGACACCCGCTAGCATTGTTATGGGACGTGAACTTCGTCTACCTTGTGACCTGAGATTTGGTTGCCTACCAGGGGATGATATTGCTGGGGAAGATTACGTCAACAATTTACGTAGGAAAATGAGCGACATTCACAGCCGAGTTCGTTTAAACATCCAGAGTGCCAGTGATAGAATGAAAGAGGCATACGACATCAAGGCGGAAAATGGAGGATTTCAACCTGGAGACCTAGTTTGGTTGTACAACCCTCAACGCCGTCGTGGTTATTCACCGAAGCTGCAGACTTCTTGGGAAGGACCATACGAAGTCATGGATCGAATAAATGACATCATCTATAGGATCAGAAAACAACCAAGAGGAAAGCCGAAAGTGATCCATTTTAACCGATTGGCTCCTTACGCTGGAAACAATGATGACCAAATAAACGACGCTAGAGTAAGGAAGGTTAATCCGCCGGAAGACGACTTGCCTTTTGAAGACTTCATGTATTTATATTCGAGCGGTAAAAAAGCTCGCTACGGTGTCACTCAAGAAGAACAAAAAGATTTGTTTACGGTTTCGGCCGATTACTCCTTGGCTCACTGTGTTGCAGAAGACCTAAGGATGTCCAGGGGAATAGCGGTTGTCTTTAAAAACAAGTTTGGACGGGTCGAAGAGCTACGAAGGCAGAATCCCAAAGTTGGAGAGGTGCTTGAAATTGTGAATAATGAGCAGAAAGGCAACAGAAGTATTTTCTATCTGGTAACGAAGCAGCTCTCTCATCAGAAGCCAAACTACCGTGACGTATGGAATGTCTTAAATAAATTAAGGGATACCCTTTTGTCCAAGGACATCATGAACCTGGCGATACCAAAGATTGCTTGTGGACTTGACGGTTTGGACTGGAGAATAATTAGAAGTATGGTGGAAGTTATCTTCAGATTTAGTGGCATACACATTCTTGTCTGTTGCCACAACCCTAAAAGAACAACCGGAAGAAAGACCGTAGACTGCTACTTCTATAGGACGTCACACTGCAAGTTTGGATCTCTATGCAAATATTGCCATGGAGCTGAGGACCATTTTCGGGACGAAAATGTTTTAAGACGGGGGCAGTGTAGCGAGTACCGCTCTGGATATCGGAGTGATGACTCATCGCCGATGAGTCATCGCCGGTGAGTCATCGCCGGTGACTCAGCGCTCGAACAATCGAGAGTGTGGAGCTCGCTGGAATGTTCCAGAAGACCTTGGCGCTGAATATATAAGAACAATAGTGATATATAAATAATTAGTAGTTAAGTGTTTAGTTAGTTTTATAGTGTTTTAAGTGTAGTTAAGTTATTAAATAAATAGTTTAGTTCGTTAATTAACCAGTGCGTGTTTTAATTCACACTACGAACAGTTAAAAACGTTACAATATATTAATATACTAATTAGTATTGCTAAAATATACTGTTATATGAAATTTCAGCTTTTTATAAGCATTTCTTTTCTTGATGTCCTCCCAAAAATATTTTAGACAGTTCAATAAGTTTTCGGTAGTTATCTCTCACAATAGACTCTTTTAGTTATTTAGAGTAAAACCCATTAAGTTTATCAATTTCAGAGTTTACGGCCTATTTAATAGACCCTTCCGGGTAACTAGCCACTCCCTGTGAAAATATACATTTTTATCAAAGTATACACATAAATAAAACTATATTTTAACATTTGTCAATTATTTATAATATAAGGGTCTCATAATAACAAACACAAAATGACTTACGATCGAAGACCTCGCGACCAACCGTGTTACAAAATACCGCGCGCCTAACGTTGGCTAACGGAGGGTTCAGATGCAAGTCGGCACGGGTTCCCGTTTATAGAATGAGCTGAAATTTTTACTGGGATTATATAAACACGTAATAAATATAATTAGAGGGTATGCGTAAAAAAAATAAAAATAAGGGACACCCTACTCTATAGTCATAACTTATGACTCATAAGTTATGATTCATAACAATTTTAAGCAGTTGCTCCTTTAGTGCTTGTCGTAACGTTTTTGTAAATAGAGGCAAACAGTCAATTACCTACTTATAATCTAATATTAAAGTTAGTTTTTGTCCCAGATTTGTATTAGTACATTGGAGTGTTGTGGAATATTTTCCGGTGTTTCCGAAATACTGTTTCGTGCTTTTCTTTGGACAAAAGATTGTTTTATTGTTTGATTTTGTAAGAAAAACAGACAATAATACGACTTTTGATGCACATTTTTTCAGTTTGCGGTATGTAATAAAAATACAAACAAAACATAGATCAATTTATATTTTACTTGAGTAAAATTTATATAAGGTTATGTTCGTATTAGTCAAAATATATAAAATATAAAGTATATAAAAACACTTTCATTCACAATTCTATTCTAATATCTACGTTTTTATAGTTTTGCATACGAATTTATAATTTCTCAGACTTGGGTAAAATGTATATGTATATACAGGGTGATTCAGACTTGTGGTGACAAAATCTCAGGGGAAATTCCTCTCCTCGAAATATGAAAAAAAGTTCCTATAAACACGTGTCCGAAAATGCTTCATTATCGAGATACAGGGTGTTTCGCTTTATTTATAGCTTAAAAACGCTTTGGCCGATTTTATGAAAATTTATATGGTATATTAAATAATAAATGATTTAAAGATAATAAGAAATTACGTAATTACTTAAAAATTTACCAAGAGTTTTAATTTCCCAAGTGTCAAAAATTTTAGAAATATTTAGGGCCCCCACCAAATGTCGGCCCCAGGGCCTCAAAACTGTTAATCCGACCCTGCCTATTTAGTTAGTTCACATTTAGTTCATTCCACTTTTTTTTTGTGGGCCTGTGTAATGAAATATGGTCTTTTTTTATAAGGGACTAAAGAAAATGGAAAACTGTGATGTAAAAAACGGTTTTTTTTCAGATGGTAAAAAAAAACCATGAAAAAAACCTAGAAAAAAAAACGTTTTTTTTTGTTTTTTTTTTTTTTTAATCCGCTACAATAAAGCATATTCTGTCAATAATTAACATCAATCTTAAAAAAATGGAGTAATTTTTCCATATGAAATTTTGAGTAAAATGTATATTAATAATAAAGTGAAATGTAGAATATATTACATTTTTCATTATTGTAAATTTTGAACGAGACTAAAAAATCTGATTTCTTATTATTTGGTAGTTTCCACATAAGAAACCAATAGCAATGTAAAACTTCTACACTAATAGAAAAAATTCAAAACTTGCGATTTTTAGGATAGCTGTATCTTTGTTAAAAATGGTCGTATTGAAGCCGTAAAAAAAGCAATTTGAAGCCTGAAGTTTCTTGTTTTTAGATTTTTAGATGAAAAACGTGCAACGCTCAATCCTAACAAATACCTACCGTAATAAAAAAAATTTTTTGGCTTTCTTTTTTGGTCCATGGAATGTTCTGACTTTACCACCAATAAATAAATGTTCTACAAAAATTTGCTATTGTTTTTTATTGAAAAAAAAATTCCATACTCTACATGAATTTGAAAAATCATGAAAAAAGTGCTTTTGGTAGCTCTTTGAAAAATCAAGCGCTGAATCAAAAATATTATAGATAGTTACTTTTTTTACGACCAAATCAAAACAAGCGCGGGCCTTATTGGTCAATTCGGTGGTGGTGGAGACTGTATTTACATTTACTAAATGTCATTTAGTGGCTAATTTTAGTCCATGAACTGGACTGGAAACATAAAAAATTAGGCAAATGGGACTAATCTTGAAAAAAAACCTAAAATATGAAAAAAAAAACAAAAAAAACGGACCGTTTTTTTTTCAAGTCGCATCTCTAGATGAGGAGAATCTTCCTATTAATATTAAGAGCTCAAATTTGGGGAGCACTTTCTAGAGGTGCCTAAGAACCAATTGTTCAGTGTCTGAAGTAAAAAAAAATATTTGATTTTCTAATGTTTACCTGTATCTGTTTCCAGAGAGCCTCCATCTCCTTGATGGGCCCCTTGTTGGGCGAATAGGTACCTCCGCGGTACGCCACCGCCGTCGCCGTGCCGTCGGCCATGTCTCCTCCGCCTGCGCTGCAGGTTTTGTTGTTAGCCGCGGCGGGTGCTTTGGGGCTGTGCGATCTGCCGGCCGGGCCCTGCGGACTGCGCATCTGCGATATCTTGCCCAGGAAGTCGTCCTTGAAGGAGCGTGCGCGACGCGCCAACTTGTTGCTCTTGAACGACGGCTTGTGACCACCGCCCGGACTCGAACCGGCCAAAGGCGAGGGACTGTCGTTTTCTGGAAATAAAGAAAAAAATTGCTTCAGGGCATTTCCACGAAACCTTGACTAAAAATCAGATGTGTTATTTAATAAAATAACAACTAATATCTAATATTTAATATTAATACTAATAACTTAATATTTAACTTAATATTTAATTTTAATACTAATAACTTAATATTTAATACTAATAACTTATATCTGAAGTGAAATAAACTGCGCACCACTCAATGTGTCTCGACCTAAAAGATCGTCCTTTTTCAAAACGACATAACATTTTTGTTTCTTGAACGATTTTATTTTGGTCTGTGATTTCTGCTAGCCCCATCCTCTGGCAATTCATGCTATAGATATGAAGCTTGCAGTTCTTCAAGTAAATTTCGTACAGGGTGATATGTAAAAAGGTTAAAAATTTCCATAACTTCATCCAACCCCGTTTGTAAAAAAAAATAATTTTGTTCTCGTTTTTACTTTGAAATAATAAAGTATTATGTCTTACATTGAAAATATTTTCAATTTTTTCGTATTAGAATCTTAGCAAAGAAAATATGATTTTTTTTCCATAAGAGTACATTTAAGGCTTTTTGGTAGGCAATACACTCAGTCTTTTTAAGAACAAGGAGATAAGATGGTGAAAGATTGTTCCTTGAATAATTCTGAACAAGAGACAAGCAACAAACTTCCATTACTTTCAGAGGGGCCTAAGCAAAGACAACTTTTTCAAAATGACATTTTGGTGAAAATTTGCGAAAACTAATCCTGAACCGATATATAAATATATTTACGTTCGTAACAGGTTTTCTTTATAATTTTGACCTCCTGATTGTGATTCAGTTGTCAAATTTAAGTTTCACATAAAACCAAAATCACTACATTTAAACAACGTGCTTGTTCAAGTTTAACACAAAAAATTATTACTATATGCTTTCATCCAAAATTTTACAGTATCAACTTTATAAGCCAAATTGGTCGCATTTGCTGATTTTATAAGGTTACGCTATTCATGACGTTATAAAAGGTTTTCTTTACAAATTTTTATTGACATTTTGTTAAATACCTAATTTTTAGAAAAAATTTTTATATTAACGTATCTTGAGATACATGAACAAACACTTTATTATCATGAAAAACGCAGTTTTAGTGTCGCACCCGTTACAATTTAATTCTATACTGGCAATTTTATGAAGTTGAAAAAGTCCTTTTTTACAAAAATCGAGGTCGAAAATTTACATATCTTTCTGGGAAAGATAGAAATAGAAAAGATATTTCCAGTTTGATTTATTTTACGTATAGATTATACTGTTAATAAAAATCCATGGATAAATGGCGAAGTTATGATTTTTTTAGTGGAAGACCAAAATTCAGTTTTTCAAGAATTTTTACGTTTTTTCTTCATTTTATTGAATTATATAAAGTTTAATATTAAACATTGATTTTTATTTTATACATTTAATATTGAAATTAAATTATATATTGAATATTAAACAATAAATATTGAACATTGAAGAAATTGAAAGTTTTATTTTGTCGTAATAAGCATAGGTTTAAAAAAATTCTGGCTCCTTCTTTGTTTTTTGTTGCTTTCGTATTCAGTTTCTCGTATGAGTGACCAAATGTAATCACTCATCATGTCTGCATCCCTGAAGCCGCTCCATAGCCTTCATTTGCTGGTATTTACGCACTCGAACTCTCTACTTCTTTTACTCATTTTACACTTTTTATAAAAAAACAACTAAATAAAACCATGATAAAAATACCTGGTTGAAATATCAAAAAATATCTGTAAAATGTCACTATGCCAGGTTTTCGGTGAAAAAAGTACGTAAAAAACTCAAAAAATTCCAATCATGCACTTTATGTTTTCATTAAAGAATAAACATAGTATAAAAAAAAAGAAAAAAAAAGAAAAATCGGCAAAAAGCTGAATTTTGGTCTATCACTAAAAAATTCATAACTTCGCCATTTTTTTATGTATTTTTATCAACATTAGCATGTTTTTTTTGTAAAAATGTAGGGTTTTACGAAAAAAAATTCAAACTGGAGTTATCTGTTTGATTTAAACCTTTCTCAGGACGATATGTAAATTTTCGACCTCAATTTTTGCCATAAAAACGATTTTTTTAAGTTCGCTAGCGTCAAAATACTTATCCGATATCAAAAGCAACGCTGTGTATTTCCTAAGCCGTTATATCACTTATCGAAAAAAGGTTGTAATGGAAACAAAATAAACAACGCATCTGCTGCGAGCTGAAATTGACATGGTTAGATGTATTTTCTGACAGTTTTTGGGATTTTGAAACATCACCTGAGATGATGACATTTTAGCTTTATTTGTTTTATAATAATTTCCCTTTTGAACTAGGGAGTATTAATATCTAGTCTTTTTAAATTTACTTGACTGACGAGTGTTAAAATATAAAAAATATTATAACCTTAAAAAAAGTAAACCCATAACTCCCGTAATACCATAACTTTGTTATTATTAATTTTTTTTAACTTTTAATTAAAATTATGAAGTCTTTAAAAAATAAATATTATCACCCATAATATAACAAGTGGTATGATTATCATCGATGATATTTTCGAATTGAAACCGAGCTGCAGATTGAAATGTGCTGCTTCGGTTTTAATGAGTAAATATCATCGATAATTAATCATACCACGAGTTATATTTAGTGACATTTGAAATTATAATGTGCTTTAAAATATAAAAAGACTTTAATAAACCTTATTTATTCAAACTTACCTTAATTTCATTATCGTTTACACCAACCCATCGATCTTTTAGAGTTTATAATTCATTATTTTATTGATATATATCAAAAACAGAATTGAAATGACAACAAATGTCAAATCAAAAAAACGTCAAAATTCATAGTAACGTGTAAACAAGATGATAAAAAATATTGCCGCTGTGATAAAATACGTCACTATGGAATACTGGCATTTTATTGGTTCTAATATTAATGAATTATATTGTCACCCATAATATAACTACCCTATTGAAAATGCCATATAGAACCCATATTAAATCCGATAAGGAAACGTATCTGGTTCTATATGGTTTTATAGGTCCTATATGGAAAGTCCTGGTTAACATTACGGATTCTATATGGTTGAATATGGATTTCCATTTTAAAAATTTTCATATTCAACCATATAGGGAAACCTATCTGGAAATACATATAGAACAGAAACCAGATAAATCCATATACAACCATATACATGTCTTTATAAAGACATGTATATGGTTGTATATGGATTTATCTGGTTTCTGTTCTATATGTATTTCCAGATAGGTTTCCCTATCTGGTTCTATAGTGTTTTTATCTGGTTCTATAATGTAATCTTCTATCTGGTTCAATAGTGAAATGCCTGTTTCAAATACCTATATTGAACCAGATAGAAACCATATAGAATCCAGATACGTGTTTTTTATATGGTTCTATATGGCATTTTCAATAGGGTAGTGGTATGATTATCATCGATGATATTTACTCATTAAAACCGAAGCAGCACATTTCACTCGTCCTAATTATAATTAATCATACCACGAGTTATATTTAGTGAGAAAATATAATGAATTTTAGGATTTAACGAATTTTTAGTTTGACATTTGAAATTAAAATGTGCTTTAAAATATAAAAAGACTTATTTTAATGTTATGACAATATAATTCATTAATATTAGAACCAATAAAATGCCAGTATTCCATAGTGACGTATTTTATCACAGCGGCAATAATTTTTATCATCTTGTTTACACGTTACTATGAACTTTGACGTTTTTTTGATTTGACATTTGTTGTCATTTAAATACTGTGTTTGTTACCTAAATGATTAAAATAATGAATTATAAACTCTAAAAGATCGATGGGTTGGTGTAAACGATAATAAAATTAAGGTAAGTTTGAATAAATAAGGTTTATTAAAGTCTTTTTATATTTTAAAGCACATTTTAATTTCAAATGTCAAACTAAAAATTCGTTAAATCCTAAAATTCATTATATTTTCTCACTAAATATAACTCGTGGTATGATTAATTATCGATGATATTTACTCATTAAAACCGAAGCAGCACATTTCACTCGTCCTGCGGACTCGTGAAATCTGCAGCTCGGTTTCAATTCGAAAATATCATCGATGATAATCATACCACTAGTTATATTATGGGTGAAAATATTTGTCGAAATTTCTTTTATTTGCTAATCCCTACTTAATTGACATTTTAATATACTTGTCGAAATTTCTTTTATTTGTTAATCCCTACTTAATTGACATTTTAATATATGTATTTACTAAAATATTAATATTTTAGTAATTACTACGAGTAATCAAAAATATGTCGAATATTTTAAGGCGTGGTATAGCAAATATTGTTTGTGCTTGCTTTATTCGCAACCACAAGGTATATCAAACCGCAAAATATCCGACATTTATTTTTGATTATCAGAGGACAATTTTATTAAACCAAAAATTTAAATTGAATTACATCGAAATTGAAATAGTTATTTGTTTTACAAGTGTTGAAAAGCGACTTTTAAAGAAAGCTTTTCTCACAAGTGAAACACAATGTTTTTTCTACGACCCTTTTAATTTTATTATATTCAAATACGTGTTTGACAGCGGTTAATAGTATATTACACTACAAGGGCAGAAAGTGTGAGATTCCTGCACTGCGCGCCATGATGCCCGAGGCGAAGCCGAGGGCATCATGGCGCGCAGTTCAGGAATCTCACACTTTCTGCCCTTGTAGTGTATACTATTTTTCTTACTACCTCGGCCGAAAATACAACCCGTCCGAAAATACGGGAAAAAATTAAATGTGTATTTATGTACCTATCTCCATTTGAAGAGCTTGATAAATAAATAACAGTAGGCCGTGAATTCAGCGGTGCCAATACAGTAAAAATAAAACGTTGTATTTTAATTAACAAATTACTAATTATAACAAATAAAAGTACCATTAAACACTTAAAACATCATAAAAAGTAAAAAAGTAAAAACATAAATTGTTT